GTAGGCGGAGGTGGATGAAATGCTTGACACGGAAGCTGTTGTTATATTGCGCAACAGGCTCTGAAGTCTGTAAAGCCGGTTGCAAAGCTACCTGATTTTCGTAGACCGCTTTTATAACGAACACCTGGCCTTGAGCGTGACAATGAAAAAAAAACGTTTCAGGTCAATCGGCGCCTGAAGTTTTATAAAGACTTCTGACCGACTTCTGTTTGCCGCAAAGATTCTGGCTACCCAAAAACTGAAGTGTTCAGAAAAGCGACAAATAGGACGCAAGTACTGACATGAAACAGCGATAGCCCGATCAGTGAAAAACACAGTTGCGTAAGGGCACTCGTTTTGCTAGCGCGGTGCGAAGCATTGCATTGAAACAGGAGACGGTGTTGCTGAATTACACAATATTCTAATGGTACTGAGACCGAGGGCCTACCAGCGCAGTTTGGTCAACCGGTGTATACGCAAACAAGACGGGAAACAAAGTCCTACCGGCCCTAGATTTTAGTGTAGTCTTTCGTACACAAAGAACGTCTCAGAAGCTGATAGCTGCCTTCTCACTCCACTCGGAGTTGCACACAGGCCGGAGGCATCACGCGCCGGTTCATGAGGCCGAAAGACACACTGTCACAACAGGAAACGTCTGGAGTCGTTTATCGGATCCGGTGCCGTTGTAGACGAACCCATTACGTCGGAGAAAGCACGAGATTACTCTGGAAGCGAATGATCGAGTACGCATCAGCGTAGAGGAGGAAAGACGTTAGCCTCCAGGTTGCAGCCCATTCGAAGGCATCGGACATATTTTCAAGTATCATGAGGCCGGAATTCTCGCAAGGGGTGACAACCGCATGGGCAGCAAACTGCTCAGGTTATGGTTCGCCGACCCGCAGTCCATCAACAAGCGCAATGAATTACCGTTCCCGTATTCCGTGCTCAGACTTTCCTGGGCAGCGTAATCAGTCAACACCCGAGGCTCTAGACCGCGACCTTTTGAGCAGAAGTTCAACGTTCTAACCACTGCCGGCGATGCTATCTGTCTAAGCTATAAGCTACGATGTGCGGCTGCTAATGGGGCTCGATAATGAGCCCCAAGACAGAGTGGGACGAGTTAGTTCCGTTAGCGATCGGTGAATGTTCAACTATGAAATCACGACCATTAACGACTTGGACGCGGATAGCCAAACCATCAATGCACCGATTACGATCCCCAGGGGTGATCGAGGGAGCTGCTAATTAAAATACGCATGCGAGCGTGCGGACACTACGTACTATAAATACTGCACTCCTTGTGCCTCAACTATCCTTATTTTCAACTGTATCTGATGAATAGTTTGCGCCAGAACGCGAAATGTCAGACCAATAAACTTCTTGTTACAGCGATCGCATCTTGTATTTCTAGGTTCTACTGTTTTGTGTGTTAGTTCGACCATCGCAAGCGAAGATGTCCTACTATGGGTTATCAGAGGAGCCTATTTTCAGGGGTAGTTCCTCGACATCGCCCAATTCAAAAAAATAACTAACTGCCACATGTGAATACTGCCTCATATTCCAGTTACATGTGGTGGACGTAGGTTAGGGGGATGTAGATAAAAGCCAGCATATTACCTCACGGACTGTAGCTCATATTGTGGACTAGACTTCGGACATCAATCTCCCAGAACCCTTCGCCATTCAGTCTGACGTTCGACAAGGCTGTGTCCTGTCACCCATCTTCTTTAACTACGCCATTGACTGGATTCTCGGGATGGCCCTACAGGAAAATGGCCGTATTGAGCTGGCACCTGGCGCTGTTTGACTGATCTTGACTAAGCCGGTGATATCGCTTTACTAACTTCGAGTT